TTCATATGTATGCTTGTTGGTCTTTTTAGCACGCTTCACATCATTGCCTGTTTGCAATTGTAATCATTTGATATTTTAATCACGATATGATTACAAACATAATACATTTATTTTTAATTATTTTTTATCCTTTTGTTTCTGTACAAACTCAAAGTCCGATTCCAGTTGGTAAGCTTCAATAAAATTCAATTATTTAAATATATATATAAATATTTCCCGAAAAGGTTGGTTTCTTGATGATACAGCATCGAATGATGCTGATGCAGAAGCATTTTCAAAAGCTTTATCAGCAGCAATAAATTTAACTGATCAATTCAATTGGCCAAAAGAACAATTTAGTTTCCAATCAGTTTATGAAAATGTTACCGTATGTATTATTATATCTAATCTTCTACTATTTAAATCCTTTTTTTTCGATCAAAGGATGCTAATGTTTATTCTGGTTTTCATCGACGTAAGTTGTTTGTTTGTTCAATAACTTCTATTTAATAATAATATATGATTTAGTTTGTAATCGATTAGAATCAGGTGCCGTTGGTTCTATATCAAGTATTGATCATCAAAAAACTCATTTACTTGAATCATTTATGGCACGTTTACATATACCAATGGTATCATTAAATTATTATAATTATAATAAACCAGAATTAAATGCATTAAATAAAATTTATCATTTAGCAATGAAAATTGATCTTTTACCAGTTTTAGCTGCATTTATAAGACGTTTTAAAGTTACAAAATTATTTTATATTATTGAAGGTGAAGAAGCATTTGCACGTTTTCAATCTTTGATGGTTGCACAAGCACGAGATAAAAGTTATGATATATTAGATATACAAGTTAGACGTTTAACAGATATTAATAATCAAAATCATACAAGAAATTTATTACAAAGTGTTGAAATTAAAGATCGAGGTTCAAAAGAAGAACGTTATATTGTACTTGATTTAAATTATCTTAAAAGTTATATTAATATTCTTATGCAAGTAAGAATCGATATATTATTACTTCGTTGTTGCTTGAAACACTTTAGATTTCTAAGGGATTATACTTCTCAAGTTTAAGTCGATGCAAGCAGCTTAATCTAGTAAAGCGATTTACTGATCTGTCATACGCTTACTGATATTGTTTCAGAATAGGTTACAATAAGAAGCGTTTTTAACGGAATTCTCACCGTCATACTGACTTTTATTTATTTTTTTTTGAATAACCGATATATTCAATGGATCCCTCTGTTTCTAATCAGTAAACCGTAGTTTATGCCATCTATGAAATCTGATGAGGATTTTTGTTTTCTTCGAAAGAATTTATTAATACTAATCTTTAGATTCGTCATCATGGAATGACAACTCCTCATTACCATTATATTATAATGAGTCTTGTAAGTAGAAATTTTGAAATTAAATTTCGATAAACTATCGTTTTATTTTAGGAAGCTGATCGTATTGATATGCGTTTTTTTCGTTATGGTGGTGTTAATGTTACATATTTTTTACCTAAATCACAATATAGAATGGATTCTTCAATTGATCCTGCAACAACTGATCGATTTTCATTACCATCGGTATGATTGATCACAATCGATCGTATATATTTTTCATGTTTTAATTTGTAGTTCGAACAAAAAGCTCTAGCTGATTCTTTATCTATATATATGCGAGCTATAATGGCATTAGATGAGACAACACGTTCGAAAATTGTTCAATCAAATGATGGTGATGAAAATTTTGATCATCTAAAAATTGAATGTCGTGCTGCAGATAAACAACATCAACATATAGATTTTGGTGAAAAATTATTTAATATTATGAAATCTGTAAAAGAAAACGAATTTATTTCTTATTAAATTTATTTCCTCTATATTTCTTTAGCTTTCATTTGAAGGTTATACAGGCCATATAACATTTAATGAATATGGTGAACGTGTAAATTATACTTTGAATGTTCACCAAGTAACAATGAATCGATTACCACGAAATGTAATTTTTGAAATTTGTGTTTAATCAAAAAAAAACTATTTATTTTAGTTGGGAAATTTTACACTTGATCAATTTTTAATGGATGATCTTAAAGTATTCGAAGGTCGACAAGCACATGATTTTGATAAAGGAAGAGAAAGAATAATTACAACAATTCTTGTATGATTATTTTGAATTAAGGCAAAAAACTGATTTACGTTTATTTTAGGATGAACCATTTACAATGTTAAATGAAAGTGCTGTTGGAAATATTACAGCAGCAGAAGCAGCTGGTCAATTTTTTTCATTTGATCAATTATATGGTTATTGTGTTGATTTAGCTCGATTAATATGTGAAAAAAAACTTGAAATACGATGTAAATTTCGTCTTGTAAAAGATAATGCATTTGGAAATAAACCAGCTAATGATCAACCATGGAATGGTATGATTGGTGAATTAGTTCGACATGAAGCTGATCTTGCTGTTGCACCATTAACAATAACAAGTCAACGTGAAAGTGTAGTAGATTTTAGTAAACCATGGATGAATCTTGGTATTAGTATTTTAATTAGTAAACCAGAAAAAACAACACCTGGTAAGAAAATCAGATTTTATTATTTCGATAATTTCTTCTTTTTTTTTAACAAAGGTGTTTTTTCATTTATGGCCCCTTTATCAAAAGAAATTTGGATGTGTGTCACATTTGCATATATAGGTGTTAGTGTTATATTATTTCTTGTTTCACGTTTTTCTCCATATGAATGGAGTATTGAAGATGAAGTTACACCACAATTATCAAATAAATTTTCAATTTTAAATACATTATTTTTTGCATTAGCAGCTTTTATGCAACAAGGTGTAGATTTTATACCAAGGTTAATTAATTTATATAAAAATATTTCTTTTTTTAGAATTTATTTTCTATTTAGATCCATATCTGGTCGACTTGTTGCAAGTGTTTGGTGGTATTTTTCGATGATTCTTGTGTCATCATATACTGCCAATTTAGGTTAGTCGAATAAGATTTGATAATATAGAAAATAAATGATAATCTTATGTTTCTAGCTGCTTTTCTTACGGTTGAACGTATGGTTACCCCAATTGAAAGTGTAGAAGATTTAGCAAGACAAACACAAATAAAATATGGTGTTGTACGCGGTGGATCAACACAACATTTTTTTGATGTAATAATTATTTTTATAGTCGAAAAATCATTTCTTTTATACCGCCTTTTGTAGAAATCTGATGTTAAAGTTTTTCAACGTATGTGGGCATATATGCAACAGAGTGAAGATGTGCTAGTTGCTAGTAATGAAGAAGGAATTAATAAAGTTCGGTAAGATAAATTATTTTCTTCTATTAAAAATCAATAGATAATATTTCTATCTATTCACAGAAAATCAAAAGGAAAATATGCATTTTTACTTGAAGTACGTATTAAGATGAATAAAAAAACTCTAAGGTTTTAATTACTTTTTATAATTAAATAGTCGACTAAAAATGAATATACTAATGAACGATTTCCATGTGATACAATGAAAATTGGTTCAAATCTAGATTCAAAAGGATATGGTATCGCCACACCAGTTGGATCAGAATTACGGTAAAACAAAAAGGTTGTTTTTATAAATTTCAAGAATATTCTTTTTTCAGAGAAGCAATTAATATAGCCGTACTTGAAATGAGTGAAGATGGTACATTAAATACATTGAAAAGGCAATGGTGGTATAACAGGTCTGAATGTCGGAATGGTACTACGAAGGTTTGTTTAAAATTATCTTCCTTTTCGAAAATATTCTCATAAAATTACATATAGGAATCTAAACAAAGTAATGCACTGAATCTTGTTAACGTAGCTGGTATATTTTATATATTAATTGGTGGTTTGGCATTGGCTATAACTATTGCAATATTAGAATTTTTTATTAAAGCAAATATTGAAGCTAAACAAACAAAAGTTAGTAAAATTCGAATGAATAGATTTTATTAATATATAAATTTTTTAGAATAATTTTTTTGATGTTATGAAAAGAAATATGAGATTGAGGTGAGTAATTAGTTGAATAGAATTATTTATTATATATATAATTAATTTATTTATTAGTATTGCTGGTGTTGATTTGGAAGAAAAAACACCGGAAATATACATGTATAAATATCCTGTACAAGAAAATTATCATGTAAATAAAGGTTTTTAGAAAAATAAATAAGCAAAATTTTTTATTTAGAGTTCTGATCCATTATTTGATGAACCTCGTCGTGTTGGCAGTACGAATCACATCAATGGAAATCAAAGTCAAGTCTAATATATATTTGCTTTCTCTTTTTTTGTGTATGTCATTGTATGTGTAGAAATAAAAGTCAAATAATGTTTTTATGTCTAACTTGTTTACACAATCACATATATCAAAAAATAATTATTACTATAATAAAAAATATTGACATAAATATATATTTCATTTTATGTTTAACGCTATTGAAAGAAAATAATCAGACATATATTTCTTAATTAGCTCGCTATTGAATATTTCTTATGAATAGAATAATTTTCTTCGGTAAAAATATTATGAGTTATACAAGCCGAAAGAAAATGGCGTCTTTTTTCTAGAGTAAATTACAGAGTTTCGATACTTTTCCGTAATACATATTATGAAGACAATGACTTGATTATAGACAGTCAAGTGTATTATTAATTTTGTACTCTGAATTTTAATTGAATCGATCAGACTATTCTTAAGTCAAGATGGACATCAAAGAAAAAATAATGACATATGAAAACAAATTTTTTCTTGTCTAATTATTTATTTTCTGTTCTCAAAAAAACAAATTCTTCTTTATTTTCATAGAAACGTATCACTCTCGTTTAATTCCAAACATACACTCATAGATATATAAACAAAAGAAAAAAAATAAGAAATGAAGAGAATAATAAGATAGAAGATTTTTGTACACACACACACACATTGCATATTCGGATGCTTATATTCTGTATTTTGGTATATATCAGTAGAATATAAATTAACAAAAAAATGAAATGAAAACTATACAAAATGTGTGTCTGATGATGATGATGGTTGATTGGGATCGTCGGAAGTTGATGATTGTTGTTCTCGTTCTTTTTTTAATGTTTCAACATATTCTATTTGTGACATTGCAAGAACTTGTCGCATTAACGAATCATCATCATCATCATTATCAAGATCTAGATTTTGAAAATAAAAAATATTCTATATGTATATTGATTACATACCATGATTTGATAAAGTAGCATCTTCATAGTGAAATGGTAAGGAAAATTCACAATCTTTTCGTTCATCAAGTTTTAATGGCAAGAAATTTTTTGATGAATTTTCTATAATAACAAAAATTATATAAGAAATATCTTTTTAATACAATTAGCAATATACCTTCAGTAGTATTATTAATTCTCTCTGATGTTGTTGTTGATGATGTCTATGAAAATAAACGAAATATTTATGATGATAATTTTTATAGTCTTTTCTCAATCCCCTATAGTACAATTAATCTTTTGTAATTAGATTTATATTATCGTTTTTTATCAGTGAATAATCACAATAAATATGAACGTCGAAAGGATTTCATCGAGATTCATTAGAATACTAAGTATCATTAATATTCTATCTAAATTTCTTCATTCTTATCAAATCTATGAATAATTATCATAGAATAAATTTGATGAAAGCTGATTGGTTTTTTCTTGAAGTAAAATCTCTCTTCTACAACTTATTATAGAATCGCAATCATCTACATATTGTTCTCTCTTTCATCAGTTATGAATTCATATCGATGCGGGAGTAGACAAGAAAATGTTCGTTCTGCATGTGGTCGAGTGATAGTTAATAGTCATCATAGAAATGTGTGTATTGTGACTATATGACCTCTTCAGAAACTCTATTAAAATGAAATCTATACCATTTTATTATCGTTATGTTGTTGTTGTTGATTTTTATCACATAACCATTCTAAATAGGATTCTCTTGCAATTTGTTGTATAAGTTCATCTTGTGTTGCTTCCCAATCTGTAGCCGCTAATTTATCATCGAGCATAGCTCGTTCAATATGACTCTCTTCGGACTGACGTAATGCGGTGACAATCAATGATTCTTGAGCGCGCTAAATATATGAAGAAAAAAAAGAACACTTGAAAAAAACTATTAATAGTTTCATACGCCGGGTTCAAGATCAGGTAATCCAAGGCCATGACCAGCTGTTGGTCTCCAAGGATCAATTATTGAATTATAATGTATACTAGAATGATAACTTAAACGAATTGGTTCATTATCTGTTTTATACATTCCATGTACAGTATTAATTGGTTCTTCAAAATAACAAATGAATGAAAAATAAATAATTCGAATAATATTTTCAATTACCTGTACTATATTCATAAACTTCAATAGGTCGATTATATAATTCTGATAATGCAATCATTTCAATATGATTTCCATGACAATTTTGTCGACGTTTTCTTGATATATAACGATCAAAATCTTCTGTAATATATTCACGAAAGAAATCTGCATTTTTTACCTGAGAAAAAAAAAGAAATTATGAATGTATTCAACATAAAAAGAATAACTATCATACTATATAATCCATACAATTTTGACGTACTGTTAAATGCATTTCTTCATCACCAAATACTTGATCAGCTGTAAAAAAAAACCCAATTCTCAAAATGAATTCTCAATATTTTTCTTTACTTACACACTGCTCGAAATAAACATGCACCATCTTCTTGAACACGTTTAATTGTAAAACCTTTTTTTTCTTTTAAAGCTCGAATAAAATGCATTTCAAGCTAAAACAAAAGAAAACAATAGAATTCAGTTTTAATAAACTATCTTGAACTAACTTCATTGAGATTATTTGGATCATATTTTATTGTTGAATGATCATATTCATCTTCACTATTACATTGATCAACATCATTCAAATTTTGATTATTAACTGTTGTAATTAATGAAGATGATGATGATGCATTATTTTCAATTAAATCATCTTCATTCGATGAACTATTATTAGAATTAGCTGAAAGAGTTCCATCGATTGACGACGTATGTCGTCGTCTAGCTTGTTTATTTATTGTTTGATGAAAATGTTGATTATGATTATGATTATGTGATTTACGTTTTGAATTATTTGGAAAATTTAATGATGATGATGTTGTTATCATTGAATGTAAACTATTTGTTGTTGTTGTTGCAGATGAAGATGCTGCTCCTGATTCAACATTTATTTCATTTCGATCTTGATTTAGATTTACTGGAGAATTTGTTACATTAGAATGTTCATCATCATGTGATAAACGAGCTCTAGTTATTGGTGGTGCTGGTGGTTGTTGTTGTTGTTGTTGTTGTTGTTGATTTGATGAAGCATCTTTATTATTATTTACAGGTTTTTTAGTAGATAATATTGTCATGATTTTATTTTTATCATGTGAGATATCTTATGAAGAAGAAGAAAAATCTAACTGAAAAGAAAAAAATTTATGTTGACATTTTTTTCTATTATGATTCAATATGTATATAAATGATGTATTACAGTATACATACATATATATATTTAGTTTTCTTTTTTTTTATCGATTCAGTGTATTGTCAGTAGTATCAATGTAAATAAGAATGATAAAAAATCGAAAAAATAATATTTTAGTGCTTTTTATTTTCGTTTTAATTTTATAATTTTGAATTAAAAATCAATCGAATTTTTTTGACGGATTTAGATGTCGCTATAAACCAGTATATGAACTTTTTATGTTTACTTTTCTAAATAATTATTTAAAATAATTATGAAATAGTTTAATAAAAGAATAATTGAATTCGTACAAATCGAATAAATTCCCATTTGTTCTTTATTAGAGGATATAAAGTAGAGATCATGGTGGCAATAAATCTCCTCTCTCTCTATCGTTCAGCTAGCTCGTTTGAGCGCATAGAGATATAGATAACTTTTTTTTTTGACAATTTCTTGTTGATTTCATTCCAAAATCTTTATCGATGTTATTCTTTAATATTGCATTTATCTCAATATAATCAAATTATATATAACCATGAATTTATCATAACGATACATATTAATAAGGTAAGCTAAAATAATTTGAACGATTAGATTGATATGCAAAAAAAAAAAAACGTTTTTTTTTTTGTATACTAAATATGAGTAAACTTAACCATTTGTTGACTCAATGATCTCTAACACGTAATACATATATAAGTATATATACATTTGCATAATATTGATAAGCATCCACATAGCTCTTTGCCTTTCTCTCGAACATTATATACATTTTTTTTTCGAACGGAATGTATATATATAAATATATGTGTATGTGTGTGTATGTATAAATACGAAAGCGTGAAGCGTACAAATGTATGAATGAACTTGATACATATGTATATATTTATATTTATATAAACAGTACTTTAATTGATGACGGTGACACCAAAGGAAGTCCGAGAAATGCTTTCATTCTTTGTCATCCTATATATGTTCATGTATGTCACTTCATTATTTCCTCCCCCTGTTTACAGAAGAAGACGTCGAGACTCGAAACAAGAGAAACGAAGAACAGACTATATATGTATATATACGTATGAATATATGTCTGTGACCTATCGGCATAGTATATATGCACGTAGCACATACTAACATAAATGGGATCTTTTTATGCTACAGGCACAATCGTCCAACCAAGAAGAAAAGAATAAGAAAAGAGATGGAGAGAAAGCACATCGTTCTTTGTTTATCGATAGACGCCAGTCGAAGCTAAGAAGCGAGAGAGAGACAGAAAGAAAATATCTGCCAGATAAACGCCCCTTCATGCTCCTGTTCTGTCTATTGACGTTGGTATCAGATGCTGCCAATGCTGCCGCCTCTGTTGGCACCAGTATCTGAGCAAATCGAAACACTGGTAATATACGTGGATCTTCTCAATAACTAATATAATTACCATTTTACTCGTCATCACTCGTTTTTTTGTCGGTATTTGTATTGCTATTTCATCATTGTCATCGTATAATCGTGCCATACACGTGTACGAGGCTGCGAGATAACCATCGCGCCGTCGATCATTCTTATTTATCATCATTATTCTTATTATATTGCATCGCATCGCCCCCGAAAAAAAAGACGACGACGACAACTACGCTTTTGCTTCTCTTTTTTTCTTCGATTACTTCGTGCGAGAAAAATCGGCTACAGTAATAACACAAACAACTAGTTGGTAGGTGCTTCATACATCTATTCGGTCGATTTTTCTTTTTATATTCATTCCTAACCTTCATCTCTCTATTACTCCATTGTCTTGAAACTTACATCGATGAGTAGTATATGCACATCAAGACACACACACACACAAAAAAGAAACAAAAGTACTGATCTCGAATGATGAATAAGTAAATGATACCAGGCAATAATAATAATAATAATATCGACGATTGATTGTTTAGATTAGACAAGTTTAGCTCTTGTTGTCAGATGACATGTTTTATCATCTTTTTTTCTTATTGTATTTCTAGAATATTTTGTTTATTTTTTCGTCATGTTTTCATTTCTTAAAAAAAAGTAAGTCAAACAAGAAAACAACTATAGTAATTTTCTTAACAAAAAAATTTCTTTCATAGAAAAGTAAAGCAACTCGATAATCAACAACAACAAACACAACAACAGTCGCAACAACATCAAATTCCAATAATCAATGAAAATAAAGAAAATTTTATAAATCGAACAACTAAACAACAACAACAACAACAGCACTATCGTCGAGATAATGAATCAGGTGGTTTTGATTATTCATCATCTGTTGTATCACCACCATCGAATTCAAAGAAAACTTCATGTACACCTCGTACATCATCACCAATAGCACATGACAAAAATCTTTCAGCATTTCATGCAAATACAGATCAAACATCGAAAATTCACATTGATGTTAGTCATAATCCATCAGATAAATTATTACTTATATGTGATTCAAATGAATCAAGTCCGCATTATTTAACAGATACTGTTTTATCCAGTTTACCACAGCATAAAGTAAATAAAATATTTTTAATTCTCAATTTCTTTCAAAGAAAAAAATTTAAAAAAATATATATATATGACAACAATACATTTTTTAGACAAAAACATCTTCATCACTTTCTTCCTCTTCTTATTCTTCTGAAAATCGAAAGGTGATTTATTTTTTAAAGGCTAAACTAATACGCTAAACTATTATTTATGACTAACAAAGCGTATTAAATGTCGGCGAGACATAGACCAATTATAAATACTATATAAATCATTACATTATTTTTTTTTGTTCTTCTTTCTTATTAGAGTTGTCACGGGAGTACCTTAGGTACAACATCACCAAGTCAAATAGGTGCAAGTGATCTTAATCGTGTATTAACATCTGGTTATATAAATGGTGAAGAAAATATGGGTTATATGAAAAGAGCTGGTGATCATATAGCTTCACATACAAAATCACCACACTTTCATCGACCAAGTAAATCTATTTCCTTTCGATTTCTTTTTTTTTTTATTAAAAAAGAGAGTGAATGAGTGAGTATTTATTCTCAGGAGTTTAGTGAGTAAAATTACACTTGTTTTATGTGTTGATTGAATATAAAGAGAGAATATAAATAAGATTTGCTTGACTGATCGATTTTGTTGTGTAATGAAGGATGAGTGAACAGTAATGACGCAAGAAACAAGCAAATAGCTATTCAATATAACAATAATTTGTTTCGCTTGAAAAATGACGATGAAACTCCTGTTGCTCTCCTGTTATTTTTTTTTCAAGTAAAGATATTGATTACATAGTTTGACGAAAGACTAATATTGATTGAATAATCGACTGATGAACATATTTGAATCTTTTATTTCAAACAGTATATATGATATGTAGAGTTTTTTTTTTCGATCATCATGACTAACTGTTAAATGGACAGCTGATGAGGAATTTTTTTCCTTTCTTCCTCTATTCATCCGTATGTTTCCGGAGTTTAGGATATAGAAAAAGAAGAGAGAGAGAAAAAAAACTCGTTAGACTGAAACGAACAAACGATGCAGGCGATAAAGAATAGAAATAACAATATCTATATGCATCAGCCAACAAGATGACCTTGTTACAAATGAACAAAGAGCGAACCATATTTGAGAGATTTGAATACGATAGCTCAAAAATATATAACTGGAAGCATTGAAGAAAACATTATCAGTAACTATATAGTATATAGAAAGAACGAAACAAAAAAAACGCGAGAGAAAAAGATGAGAGAGAGAGAGAAATGGAGCAAAAAGGAAAAAAGAGAAATAAGAGGAAAAAAACAATTTTGCCTTGTGCGTCTATCTCTATGCAAGTATTAATAATAACCAAACGATAAGAAGACGACATACATTCAAACAATCAATAATGTTGATGGTTCACCATCCACATCATTATCAGCAAACTTCATCACTACGAAAAGAAATGGGTAGGTGTTAGTATGAAGACCTTGTCTTTTTACTTCATCCTATCATCATTAATGCTTAAAGCGTAAAAATAAACAATGTAGAATGAGGCTAACTCTAACCATATATACGGCAATTTACTTTTTTTTCTTCTTTCCCTATAAGCTCGAGCTGATAGATCATAACTCAATTATATGCGTTAGGCTTATATACACACACACATATGCAGGCACGTATGTGTTCACTTGACCAGCATGCTCAGCTTTATAGATGATAAATGTTGCTGATGATGTAATGAAGCAAAGCCCTTTCTCATTGCTCGTCGAAAGGTCCAAGAGCAATTGCTAAGTGGCACATTGTCTGCAGGCGATCATGATACACACATACAACCCTATAATCGGCTTTACGTGTGTGTATATGTGTATGTATAGTAAAAGAAAAGAATATGTATAAACGCGTATGTTTATACGTCACGTAAAGAGCTTCATTTAGTACAGATTAGAAAAAGAAATTTCCATCAACTGCTATCTGATTTCGTTAAATATACTTTGACTAACACTAGAAATAAGATAAAACAGATGTTAAATATCATCTTAAGTATTCAAATTAGATTAATAAAAAACATAAACAAAAAACTGAATAATATTTTTGACATATTCAAGATACAAAACTATAATAATCATAATCTTTAAAAAACCAGATAATAAATTTTTTTTATATTTTTTCAGTTGGTTTTTCATACAATCGAACACAAGCATTTAGTGTACCAGGAACTAAAAAAGGCATGAAAGCGTTAGTTACTGGTATGTTTCAATATTTATCTTTGAATATATATTCAATAAAATCTTGTTCATATATAGGTCAAACAAAAATTCGTAAAATACATTGTTCTGTGCCACACACAGCAACACCTATATCATCACAATCAGTATCTTCGACTCCGAAAACAACAATACATGATCCAACATCTCCTACTCATCA